CAAATGTGAATAAATAGCACATATATTCAAAAAAAATTATATGCGTTTGTCAAATCCAGCACAAAGTTTTGATGTCGCCATGACGTTTGTTTGTCCTGTTTTTTACGTTCCACTTCACTCAGAACGAAAAATGGTCCATTATGAGACACTCGTACATTATGTAGTTGAAATTGCTATTACTGCAGGGAGACACATGCACACAAACATTATGAATGGTTTATTATAATTTAAAGATATATATAATTGTGGACTGCATGACTTTTTCTGTGCATTTTATGATTATTAATAAACATGCGCAAGATCACATTTAAAAATAACAGTATTCCTCCCTTATATTATAAATAACTTTTTCACACGCACATCTAAAATACTTAGTCTCTCCTTTAAAGCGAGGAAGTTGTCACCTACGCATGCGTCAGTTGGCCATAGCGTGTCACTGTTTACAAACAAACATCTACCCATGAGCCTTTGCATTTTAAGGATGTGTTGTTATCATCGCTTGGGACTCAATTCCCATGTGCGCTCATGTGACAATCCTCCTGCTTTAAACATCAGAATTGACAGTATATTATTAATGATTCAATTAACATACCACATTTAAAGTTATCATTTTTTCCTCATCAAAATGTGAATACAGGTGCATATAATTACTCATGTTGAATGGAAATCATACAGCAAACACTGGGGTTCGATAACAGTAAAATAGCTTAAGCCGCAATAAACATCACTACACTGTTTAGCAAATTACCTACATAATGTACATGGCAAAGAGACAGACAATAACATTATGACATTTTCCAGGGGCATTTAGAAAGTTGAAAATATTACTGTAACAAATTGACAAAATTGTTACAAGTTTTTCTGAATGCAGAGGGGTTGTCACAAGGACCTTGTCAGTTACACCTACATTTCCTGGTTTATTAACAACCGTTACCCACAATTCACTTCTTAAATGTCCAATATAGCTGTCACCTCTTAAAACTGTTTACAACTCAAAACAAGTTATACCGCAATTACCCTGTGCTGAGTTAAGTGTTATCTCATTTGATTATTAGAGGCTGACAACTTTATTACAGGTTAAAATAAAGTGACTTTAGACTAAATGAATTAGGTGTACTCAACAGAACAGTCAGTGAGATTACTTTTATTGAACTAGTAACATAAATATGTACAAAAACACAGTTTTCAAAAGCAGTCAAAACGAGAGTAATGAAGCCTCTTGGTTAGCATGATAGAATAAATATGTATATGTCTAGAGTGGATTGTGAATCCATATTCACAGAATGTGAAAGAACTGCAGTACACATTCCCAAAATAAGCATGTGACCACATCCTACGTCCAATGTAGATTGTGATTTTGAATCCATATTCACAGAATATGAAAGTATTGCAGTACACATTCCCAAAATAAGCACGTAACTACATCGTACGTCCAGTGTAGATTGTGATTTTGAATCCATATTCATAGAATATGAAAGTATTGCAGTACACATTCCCAAAATAAGCACGTAACTACATCGTACGTCCAGTGTAGATTGTGATTTTGAATCCATATTCACAGAATATGAAAGTACTGCAATACACATTCCCAAAATAAACATGTGACCACATCCTACGTCCAGTGTAGACTGTGATTTTGAATCCATATTCACAGAATATGAAAGTATTGCAGTACACATACCTGGAATAAACATGTGACCCTCGTCCAAGCAGACAATCAGGGACGCCCTTACAGTTGAACAAAAATAATCGAAAACTGTTCTAGGTTCTTTATGTAATAATGTGTTTGTATGCGAAATTTGGTTGAATTTCATTATTGGTTGGCTTGATGTTACCCAAAAAGAATTGTTTGGTTATGATAGTTTTTACCCTATTCGTAGGAATCTGAAAAACCTGTTTTTTCAACTTATTCGTATTCAAGATAGTGACCCCTATATAGTAAATATCAATCGCATTCAATTTATTATGACCTATACACTAGCTGACTGTGGCTTTAATTATGTGTTATATTATATGTGTATTAATGAAGGAGTAATTTATACCACTGTTGATTATAGCGATAACTCATCAACTTAAGCAAACCTTATACTTGAACAATCAATTTTTAAATATCATTTACTACTCATTTAAATGTAAATACTCACTTCCTCAATTGGTGAAGGAATATTAATAATAGCCTAGAGCCTGTCATTTTTAATTGAATGGCAAATTAGTAAATCGCTGATTATTTCAAAATGACAAAAATAATATTAAAATAATATTCATAGACTGAACTGTAGAATGCTCCATCCCTCATTTTTATTACAAACCAAATTGTAAATCTATGCACTGTATAGATAGTGCTTTATAACTTTACATATATTATTTAATATATACCGTAGCTTTTGATTAAAAAATTAAGAAAAAAAAATATTGAAAAGGCAAGGAAATTGAGACACTGATATCTCGATCAAACAGACATGTCTATGCTTAAATGGAATAAGAAGGCAATCACAAATAACAATCAGCCAGACTGCATGTTGGCAGTATCATTAAATATGGCAGATGTATTTTCAAGAAAACTACCAGTTGGATGTGGTAAGTGCACACATTTTTCCCCCAACTGAAAACTGATTTATAAGGTGATAATATACACTATAAAAACAATACCTTCTTGTGTAGATAGAATGATATGAAGTACACTTTGATCCTCACTATTCCATAATTCCATCGCTTAAGATCAGCATGCAGTGAACACTAAATAATATTTTCTTTGAGGAAAAATTTACGACTGATGAATTATGTTGGCATTACAAAGTATTCGATCAATATGAATTGCTGACACAGGAGACAATGGTCACATCCAGTATTGTCAGGAGAACATCCCGACTGTGAAATCAATTTCCATGAAAAGCTGTCATATCTTCAACCAAGGGTGAATGAAGGTCAGACTGAACTCCTTAGCTCAAAGTAAAATACTGTTATGTACATTTACTAGCAAATCAGTACAAAGAAGTCACTACTGGAAAATTCCAATGAGAAATTTTAATTTATCTGGAAATCACTCACGAAACATTTCAAACATAACTGATTTTGTAATTAAAGCAATGGGCCTGTCGGGTAAAAAGGGAAAACATGTCTATCGTTTCTAACATATTTGATTTGTAAGTTGTAATTAAAGCCAGTAGCCTGAGGGGTAAAAAGAGAAAACAAGTCTGCTGTACATGTAGGTCTGTTGTCGATGTACAGTGGAGCAAAACAGTAGAACATTTATTAATATATTTGATGAAAAATTATTATGTTTAGATAGAGATATTATAATCCTGTGTCCTGATAATGGAGTTATATAATATATATACATACATGTACTATGTAATCTTTGAGCATTGTCTGTTATAGTCACAATTAATGCATTAACAAACCTAACTGGCTTTTCTCACTTTGTATTGGCACTTGCTTTCAAAAAGGAGTGTTGCAGCCAACAAAATGAATAGGTCATCAGGCAATGTGTGAATTCTGCAGTTATATGGGATTGCCACCCTTAAAAATGCAGAGAAAGTTTTGGATGTGGCAAAAATTTAACAATGTGTTTCTTTAATTATCAGGAGGTGAAACCATCAAATCAGACACTCTCCTATGACACCATAATGGGCCATTCCAGTTTATATCTGCACCCCCCTCCCATTGATGTGGTTAGATTTCCAGCACTGTATGATGGGGAAATCCAGGCAGTTATGGCTACTAAATAAAATATGGCATAGTTTATCTCGCCACATACCGAATTCTGACTGTATATGGTAAAAAAATTGGGCCAGTATGAAATAGTTATTACTGAAATTAGATAAGGATGGTGGCATGAATGAGCTCATCAACACCGTGAATCAGAACTAGTTTGGATTTCTATTATCAAATATAAAATTGTGAACTTGGTAAATTAGCATATGATGAGTGTTATATTTGGAGATCCAACTCTGTATGGTGGCACAATGGAACTCATCAATATCATAAGTAGGAACTATAGTTTTGGAACTATAGTTTTGGATTTCCATTACTGTATGGTGAATGGTGATTTGGAAATAAAATTTTGTATGACTTATACACCTATGGAAATTATACCGTGTATGAAGTAAACACACAAGCTCATCAACAGGGGGGTGCAAATATAAACTGGAATGGCCCAATGCAAACAGAGTTGTTTTTGAAGACACATACATCTCTTATGTGAAAGTATGCTATCAAAAAAGTTCTCCCATATTTGGGACTGTTGAAGCAGAGATATACTTAGACATGTACAACCAAAAACCTGTGCAACATATACACATATCGCGTATAGTATAGTCAATTATAGTTTTGGGGACATCAGCTAAAAACTAGTACGCCATGTACTTTAAAGTTAAAGTTCACTATATCCATACAATACATTATCAACATATACCCTTGATCAATTTCCACAATGTTTTAAAATTCATATAGCACATTTGCTTGCATCTTCAACAGAAGTACCGTACATATATACCTAAAAAAAATGTATTTGTTGTGTAAGAGGGACTGTGACAGAATCAATAAAATATTACCTTTTTGGACAATGGAAACATCTCTATACATGTATACTTATAAAGCTAAATGCACTACTACATGTACATTGTAATAGAACAGATATGGTAAACTAAGATTTTATACTAGTACTTTGTTACAAACATGTACATTTGTATGAGCTACATGTACAAGGTTATTGCGAGGTGTCCTTGTAATTATTCTTAATATTGTACATCTTTGCAAACCAACCACTTGATATACATGTAGGAAGCCCAGAACTGAGCAAAATTATGAGAACTTTCTTGCTATGAACTTTATTTAAAAAAAAATCCATCATCTCGGTTCATATTTGGAATGCAAGACAGTGACAGATGTATATATTATGACTACTTCCTACTATTTATTATAGAGTACCTGTATAACCTAATAAGCTATTCTAATATTCAAAAGAGAAAGAAAAAAAATGTGATGATGCTGGATCTTACCTGGAACTGGACTGTAATTTGGCGATGAATCAGACAACCCGTCGCCTTGTTCCTTCCTTACATGAGGCATCTTAGAACGACTGACTGGCGATCTACTGGCAGAATAATCCACATTTATAACTGCAAAGAAACAGAAAAAATAACTGACATCAGCAAAATGAATAATGAACTGCTGGGACAGAAACAGCTGTGAAGAACACTATTAGTGTAAATGAATAGAAAGTCAAACGTAGCATGCTCGGCAGTACAGATTCTATACTCATTACTGATGCACTGCAGTCATCTATAGTTAAGCCATTATCGAGGGAAAGCATCAGAGATGTCTGTGCATTTGTAGATCGTAACAAGTCTGTGCAACAGTTTGTCTATTAAAATGAAACTATGTGCACTGACTGAGATTATCAATGTATAGAAGGTAATGTCGCAGGACAAGGAATGAAATCTACAACCAAAAATACATGAATTAGTACCATTGCATCTCCTGGAGATGTATTTCTGGTGACAGCACACACACTTTCTAATTTCCACAAAAACACAACACTACTACTCCAACACTAGTAGACTTTGTAGACAGTAAAAATGCTGCAAGCATAAAATATATAATAAGTCACTCACAGTAGGTAAGCAAATTAATCTAATTAGGAGTGGATGGTCATCATTTTATCCTTGTATCCAAGAAACCATTGTGATGTAAGAACAAACATACTGATTTCCCTGGAGTGAGAAACTTTAGCAACTGGGTTTGCACAACTGTCACCAGGAAGGTAACTAGGAGAACACGCTGTGAGAAGTCTGTGTGTGTTACCGCATTTCAAATGGCATTTTACTTTGAATCTTTCGCACGGCTGCTTTCAGTTTGTTATTATAAAAGGTCAGATATTACATCAGAAGGATCCTGAGGCTGTTTCATTCTCTTTCGTGTTTCATTTAACACCCCAACGCACAAAACCTGATAACAGCATGCAAAACTGACTGACTTTAAAAGATTGAAAAAACATTACTGAAACCTAAGATATTTATGTGTATTTTAACAAGCAGCCTGTCGGCTGAGATAGCTCCGCTGTTAGCAATGCACATGGCAATTAAAGAACAGAAGATATCATTAGAAAATGAACAAATCTGAGAGAGGTCCACATGTAGTACCTATATGTATAATATATCAAAGCAATTCGACTTGCGGTTTTCAACAAGAAGTCGAAAATATCACTTTTTACCAAAAATTACAAAAATATTCATCAAAATTAGAGAATTAAAGATATCATTATGAAATGAACAAATCTGAGAGAGGTCCACATGTAGTACCTATTTATGTAATATCAAAGCAATTGGACTTGCGGTTTTCAACAAGAAGTCGAAAATATCACTTTTTACCAAAAATTACAAAAATATTCACCGAAATTAGAGAATTAAAGATATCATTACAAAATGAACAAATCTGAGAGAGGTCCACATGTAGTACCTATATATGTAATATCAAAGCAATTGGACTTGCGGTTTTCAACAAGAAGTCGAAAATATCACTTTTTACCAAAAATGACAAAAATATTCACCAAAATTAGAGAATTAAAGATATCATTACAAAATGAACAAATCTGAGAGAGGTCCACATGTAGTACCTATATATGTAATATCAAAGCAATTGCACTTGCGGTTTTCAACAAGAAGTCGAAAATATCACTTTTTACTAAAAATGACAAAAATATTCACCAAAATTAGAAAATTGAAGATATCATCATGAAATGAACAAATCTGAGAGAGGTCTACCCAAGAGGTCTACATATACACCAAGTATCAAAGCATTCAGGCTTGTAGTTTTCAAGAAGAAGTCGAAAAAGTAAAACATTGACACGGACGACGGACGACGGACGACGGACGACGACGGACGACGACGACGGACGACGACGGACAATCACTCATATGATAAGCTCCGCTCGACAAAGTCGACAGCGGAGCTAATGAAACCAAAAAGTGATTCTCATAGCAGGCAAATGTGTTTGCTGCTAAAATACCAGGTGAATATAAAAATTAGCAAAAAAATTATATACATCTTCATACAAAATGTATGTGGATCATGGTAGATAAAGGCTTGCTGCTAAGATATGATTATTAGATATGATGCTAATCACTTGATACTAATACCACAGTGTACACTTTACATGTGCTTGCGTAGTGTGTTCAATGTACATGTAGGAATAAGAACCAACCAACCAATAAACAGTAGAACAATAGAACAGAAGAATCAACACATGCAAAGTTATGATGATTTGTTCCTTTAACATTTCTGCATCCAAATTTTTTTCACATCAAACATTAGAAGTAAAATATTTGTCTGGAAAGCAATGCCAACCAAACACACAGAATCCAATACTGCCTGCAGATCACTAAATTTCAAAGAATTTGAATACCTACATGTAGGATATTCTGAGCATGAGTATCTCATGGAAAGTGGTGTAAACATTGCGACAATTCTGGGGTCCAGGGAGTCCAAGATTGCCAGTTCCTGTTGCCAGCTAAATACAAGGCAAAGTTTTTTGTATTTCTGAAGGTCAGCAACTGCCCACGCTTACCAAGTTTTATTACTGCAGCTAAAGTTCTAAAAAAAAAAATGACCCATTGGCTCCTTTTAATTAACTTTTTGAGAACTGCTGGACGGAATGAAATGAGCCGAAGTTTTGCATGTGCATTGTACATGATATTGGGCAACTAGTTTGATGATCTCAAGTAGTTTGAACCAAAATTGGCTGAGTGAGAAGCAATCACAAAATTTTAAAACATGATAATTGCTAAAACTCTGGACCAATCATTATTTTGAAGTCAGTTGCACCAGTTCCCGATGGTACGCAACAGCACAAAGTTTCAGCCTTCCAGCTTTAGCCATATTCTAAACACCTCAATGAAAAAAAGTTAAGGAAGAAGAACGAAAGAAAAAAAAACAATATATAATCATGTTTCAACATAAAGGGTGCACAGAAATTTAAACTTGAGGTCTATTGGATCAAAGTGAAAAAATAAAAGTTGTGGCTTAACCAGAAATTATACAAAGAAAATAGGGTGCTACATTCATCCCTTGCATTTCTAGCATGGAAGTAAACATACTTATTAATTAATATAGAGGTAAAAACAACACTAGATACATTGTACTAGAATTTCATAAATAAAAGACCAGGTTCTGCCCAGCCTGATTTGAGTATGGGTCGCTAATTAATATTCTAAATAGAATCGCAATGATAGATAGATTTATATAATGTAATATATAGATCCCAGTACTAGTCAGCATGCCATATGGCATATTATTATGTACATGTACATGTAACTACACTTCATTGATTATTATGAATTGCTTTTGAAAATTACATAATATTGGGAATTTCACATTTCAATCATATTGTGTAGTGGCATATACTGAATCAAGCCACATTATCACTTTGGCTCAGTGAGTAGCCATGTGAGGCGTTAAATTCAGAAACAGATCTCAGGAATACATAGTTCCATATTATATATTGAAATAATAAATTTTCTGA